CTTTTTTACTCTTCAATCAGCTTTCCATTAAGATTGAACTGCCACTTCTTCCTCTACAGAGCCTTTTTAATTATTACTTGTGACTTCTAGGCTTGACTTATTTGATTATTTTAGATATTATTTTAGAATTCACTTTGTTTTCGCGATTTGGTTGGTTCCCTCATCACATTTGCGTACAGGGTTCTTGTTTATGACATCCAACATTTTATTTACCAAACCATTCAAACACTTCAAGGCTAGAATGAAAAGGCGAGTTTATTTATATTAACGTAAAAAATTAAAAAAAATAATCATTTTACCTTGACGAAGCCTATCTTTACTCCTTTTTATTGGATAGATGAATCATATTTTCAATCATTTATTTTGCTTGTCTATCACTTATGGTATTATGTGGTCTTTAATCATTTGAATTCCGCTTAATGGCCTAGGCATCCTAGACTATCACAGAATTATGGGCTAATATATTGTTCAAATTGACGCACATGTGAGTTCGCCTGGAGATATCGCTTTGTCTATAGTTATGCTTTAATGTATTTGCATACATCCATCTTCCCTATCCATTCTTCATTTACCAAATTGCTTCATTATTTTTGTTATCATAACAGCTGTGATAAATATCCTTTCATTGTACATATTCTATTGCAACAACGCTCCTTTTACTCTGCCCCAGCATCATTTCTCACGATTACCAGGTGGCACTGATTCAACCACTTTTTATGTTTATGTCTACCCATCAACCTATAGCCTTTAGATAGTTCATCAGAGCTATATTTATTGACAATAGTAAGAGTTAGAATCCTTTCTTCATGCTGTCTAGTAGCTAGATTTTTATCATTTTGTAAAGATGAGAGCTTTGTTATTTTATGCCGCTGCCTTATCTCATTATTGAATGTTTATGTTGCCGAATAATAGTCTAGGATAAGTAAATGTTTGACTCGATTTGTGCAATACATTGAAACATTTCAAACTGAATCGAACCTTTCATATCATTCCAGTATGCACAATTTGCATGGACTGGCGTTGAGATGTTACATGGATTTCGTATTTATTAATAATTATAAGTTTTACTTCTTGATACTTTTTCTTAATGCTTATCCTTGGAGAGCAGACTCAGATACATTTGATCTATCGTTCGATGTTATTTCATCCACAAACTTGCTTATTAAGGAAAATCGATTCATTATTTTTGGGAATTTGACGCATTGCATTTATCTATTTATTTATGGGACATTACCTTTCTATAATCAAATAACAAAGGATTCATGTTACAATTTTTCCATTTTATCAAGCTTAAAACAACCTTGCTTTGATGTGGTTCTGGGATTAAAATGCAGTTTATTCTATTCATCTTGTTTTTATTTAAGCTTTTAGGGTTCTGAAGATTTTAATGCTTCTCACTCGCCTACATAAATTGTCGTCTCTATTAATGCCGTACTTGCTTGTTTAGAATTTTTTCTTATGATCTGCTTGGAATTCATATGCACATTAAACTTGAAAATCTCATCCTTATAATTTCAACTGTACGATGATTGTATTCATTTTATTTTTATAACCAATCCTCTTATTTCCTATGAATGCTTCGAAACTATCAGTAATTCCTTAATTAAAATTTACTAATCTTAGTTCGCTTAAACTAGCTTGAGTTTTGATGTTAGAATTTTCCCACATTGCTATTAGTAGGCTTCGCGCTGTCATTATATTTTACTTATATTATATTAACATATTTATATTATATTTCACTTGCCTTGGATGGAAAAGCCTTTTGGAAGGCAAGGCGAAGTAAAATTTATTGACATAATTAGACCTAATCATACAATAATCTCACCATCTATCCTTACCTCACCATAAACTACCTAGGGTGTAAGTTTTCAGCTTAACTTTATCTTTTTAAATACAATCTAATATTCACATGCTTACACATTTACTAATCTGTTTAATGCATTGACAAAAAGTGTCCGCCGACATCACCATCATCATCACAAGCGACGCCAATCCTCCCTCGAAAATGGAGCTTGCAGAAACGAAGATGACGATGCAATTTCTTCTAATCGCAGACGTATCGGTGCCTATTCTGCTGTTGAGGATGATGAAGATGAGGATGAGATTGAAGCAGAACTTGAGGGAGAAGAAGATGAGGATCCAGATGAAGAAACAGGCCTAGAGGCGGAAGAAGATGACAATCCAGATCTTGGAGAAGAAGGTGAGGAGGATGAAGAGGAAGATGAAGAGGAGGAAACGGGCGGAGAGGATGGCGAGGAAGCTGAAGGCGGAGGATTTGACGATATTGATCCCCAAGAGGATGTGGTAATGGTGGTTCAACACAAGCGTCAGCAAGGCCAGCATAAACAGCAGATACATATTGTTCATCGTCGCAAATCATCAAAGAAGTCACATAGAGGTATAATATACTCTACCTTTCCTAAGCCTCACATTTTGAAAGTCTTTATTCATTCATCATATGTCCTGGTTGATTTTTTAAATGTATTATGCACGGAATTTGAGAATTTAATAAAATATCCACATATTTTATTCTCCATATTCACATTTTGTAATTATCAATTATTTTTTCACTAGCCTACACTTTTTTTCTACGTACACAGAAAGATGAAACTATCTTGATAGTTTAACATTAACTTACTACATACATTTAAGGCTTATCCCCATTTTTCAAAAGTAAATATTAAATAAGTCCTATTTTGCTCTCGATGAACTTAACTGGTTGTTGAATTCGCCCTTAATGACGTTCCAATTGAATTTCGCATTACCTTGCTTTTCAACTTACTACCAGTCCTTCATTATCTTAGGATTAGGAAGTTTACAGAAATTATTAAAACAACGAACCTACTTAATAGGAAATTGTGTACGAACTATTTATGGCTGATAGATAAGAGAGAGGGAGATGACAGGAATAACTAGTGAACAAAAGAAGACTGGGCTAGCATCAAGTCAGGTTAGAGGTATCACACCTCGTAATATGAACATTACATACGCAGATAAGACAATAGCGCATACCTAATCATCAGTCAGCATTAAAAGATCGTAAGCTTGTTGATGTCTGTAAGGAAAAAGCTGCCAGTGAATCCATTTTCGATTCATGAATTAACTCTACTCATCTACAAGAACGTAGAGTGAGTCTGAGGTAGACAACCAAATCATGGGATGTCTCATCAAGATCATATATATGCGCATCCATATAGATTAATATATGATAGGAACAAACCAAATCGTTCCATACATCATGAAAATTCATAAGTTTATTGTATATATCAAGCATGTAGAGATTATCCACTGAGTTTTTTTGACTTGTTAGCTTGAATTAGCTGTAGGAATGATGCCCTGATCTAACGATGTCCGTCATATGACAGACATAATCGAAGAGGATTGCCCCGAGGACGTCCTCAACCAGAATGCTCTAGTAAGGCTAAGCGGCAGCTGGCTGCAAGGAATTCGCCGTCGTCTTCCAGTTGGTTCGGTTTTGGAGTCTCTTCATCATACACTTTTACTATAAATTAAAGTGAGCTCAACAATTCATAATAATGGCTCCTTCTCTAATGTAAAATTAGTAGAGCCAAGCTCCTCACTGTACTATTTTGCCTTACGAAATTATTCAGAATTCTATTTGTCAAGAAACTCAGTTTTCGAAGCCATTCGGCAAGATCAGCAGCTACTAATAGGATTTGTTTGTCTCAACTGTCTATATCAAGGTA